GAGTGTGACCTATTCCAAGTTATTCCAAGGGATATTCAGATATATCTAATTTAGGTGAATAAAGATGAAATACATAGGGATTTTCCCTCTGTTAAGTAATGGAGGATGTTTTGAAAGGCTTTCTCCTATCAGTGGGAAGGGATTAACACTTGAAAATATTCACATTGGATGACTGGGTAAGATAAATTGCCCGTAGCCACCCAGGTTAGAAAGATTGGGATTTAACAAGACAAGCAATCAGAGGCTGAATTGAACAGTTAAAGGATTTTGTGTCCCTTTCTAGAATAATCAGAGATTTTGAATGAAGCACTTACTTAGGTTTATAAGTGCAAGTAATAAAATCTGTCAAAAAATACATGGCAAACCTCTCTCTCTCTTAAAAAGCCACAAAATTTACACAAAGAAATTTTGTGAATATATGTATTGTGAAATCTTCAGAAAAATGGTAAAATATGCAATTAATTTGGAAAAAGATTAATGTCAGAATATTTTAAAGATTTATTCTCCTCCCTATAGTGTAATCCAAAGATGTCTTCAGTTTTTTCCTTCCTCACACTCCTAACTGAAAAGCAGTCTGCATTATTCAATATGAGTGAAATAATTACACTTGGGTCAGGTGTAGGGTTGGGTACTTTGGACAGGTTCAAAAGATTCCCCTCCCACCCCCACTTTAGTCCTTGTCTATTTGTTCCCTGAAGGATTTCTGTGTCCCTTCAGGCAAACCAGGCAGTAGCAGCAGCAATAATCTTATTTACAAGGGGGGCAGGAGGGCAGAGGGTTGGAGGCCCCAAGGGCTGGCGTTCAATACGGTCCCTGTCATCTTGAGATCAGAGGGTTTGCCCCAGCCCAGGTGAATAATGACCAAGAACACTTTGTGACTGATGACTGCTCTGTTTGGGGAGCTAATTGATGTCCCTCTGTTCCAAGTGAATAATGCCCTTTCTAGCAGTGACAGTAATGTCATCAAGAGGGAAAATATGTGGCCAGCTAATGAGGAAACAGGATATGGAGTCCCCATCCCCACCTCTGGGTGCCCTACTGGGCCAAGTGGGAACTGATGATTTTACATACGCATATAATGCTTTGTAAAACTCTCTTTGAACTAGCAGTACTAAGGAAAAGGCTATCCACATTTTGACCTTTTTGACTAATATTATGAATCTGCTCAGGCATCTGTAAATCATGGTGCAGGTGCACCAAGAACAATGAATCTCCTTAGCAGCTATGACACTTGGTTATCTATCTGGCCCCAGGACCGCATCCTCATCACTCTCCTTCAGGTACCACGGCCCAGCCACATGAGACCATGTGTCATTCACTGGACATATCACACTCTCTTACATCTCTCCTCTGTCACCTCCATCACATCATAACTTCTCCCCCTGTAATGTTATCAACAGGGTGGTTGAGAAGATTAAGTGAGATGATGCATCTCACAATAAATGAGATAAAATACTAACCATTGTTATCAATGCCAAATACAAGGTAGGTTCTCAGTAAATACTTGATAAATTGTATCTTACAATTTTAAAAAGTTCCATTTCATTGACTAGTAAGAGTATTATGTCCTGGATCCCTTATTCTATGTACAAGCTAAAAACAAAAGGCAAGTTTTTTTTTTAAATTAAATCAATTAAAATCAAAATTTTCCTGTAGGAAATGGTCAAAGGGCTGGAAAAACAGCTACTATAGGTGGGAACGAGAATTATTTGTAGTGCCCAGCTCTGGGGATAAAATAAATCCAACTTCCCCTCAGCCACTCTTTCAACTTCCCAAAGTGAGTGATAATTCATACCAGGCAAGTAATAAAGAACACAAATCTAGTTTATTTTGACATCCAAAATGGACTTGCTGAAGTTTTTGAATTGCTGCTATTTGAAAAATGAAGAAAGAAAATGCAAGTACTTGGTTAGAAACATGCACCTCATTAAACCCCATGCTCCCTTGCAATGTGGTGTGGTGAGTATTTAGAGCCAAAAGATCTGGCTTTGAGCTCAAGAAATGCAACTTACTACTATATGAACTTGGGCAAGACACTTGACCTCTTTAATCTTACATATGTAGAGATGTACTGTAAAACACTAGAACTTAGAGTATTATTTTTACCAGACATTCTGTTAGGTAGAGATAGGGTTTTTCATCTTTAAATTTGGTAGCACATAGGAAGTTTTCAATAAACACTTATGAAATGTATGGCTTTAACACATTCACTGCCATGTGAGTTGTATTTAACTCATACTAGTTTTGAGCCCGGAGACTCATGAAAAAAAAAACTCGGGCAAAAAAACCCCTGCAATTAGTTCATGAAAATTTTACTTGTTGATATTTTTATGGTTATAATTAATATTGATAATTTAATTCTAAAAATGTGGATTAAATGAATAGAAGTCAACAAATTTCATTTTCATTAAATTTTTCCATTAAATCAGAAAGGATCATTTTGTTTTTGAAATTTTCATTCTATTTTTGTAATAAAACGCTGTGGCCCCAAGGGAAAAAAAAATTTTTTTCTAGTGCGGCAGTCAATGTGTTAAATGAATAATGAGTGAATGAAAAGAGGCACTGTTGTTTAATAAAAATAATATGGGCTTTGGAATCGGGAAGGCCTGTTCTAACCTTAGCTATCTGGTCTATACTCACTGAGCTTTCCTCTTACCTATGCCATGAACTTAACACATCACAGGGTGGCTGTGAGAATTAAAGAATACATGTAAGGTGCTGGCATAATGCCTGCCATTCGATAGACACAGCAAAACGTAGCTTCTTTATGTCTGATCATTAGCTAAAAAACTGGTGAAGACATTAACCAAATAAGTAAGGTGAAATGAAGTATTTCAACATAGATTAATTCTAATACATTCTAATACATGACATTGGTTATAGGACTTTACAGTTGTCAAAGCTCTTCAGAAGGTTTTATATCATCTGATGCTACTGCTATTTTCAGAACTTTTACAGATGAGAAAACCAAATCAGAGGTTGCAGCTTGTCCAAGTCCAAACAGCTAGAAAGTGAGTGATCCGGAACCACATCCCAGGTCCACTAATTCTTTCTCCAATGTTCTTTCCAGTACAATAGCCACCTCTGTCAGTCAAAGCTGGGCACCTCTGACATTTGTCATGATTCTGATGTTAGCCAGAAAGACTGTGTACCCAGTAAGGAACACATGAACATTTTTCAAATGGATCAGGCTTACCCAAAGATTTAAAGAGTTCTAATATTATTAGTAAAATAAACACCTGAAGTTCTGCATTAGTCATTTGTTTCTTAGTGTTAAGAGAAAAATCATTTGTTTGCTCTGCAAATATGTGAGCATGTGCGATGAGTGAGGTGCTGCAGTTAACACTGGAGAGTTGCAGTGTCTCGTTCTCCTCTCAAAGCCTGCAACTGTAATATTTTAATCACTCTTCCCATTGGCCAGTTTCTTCTCATCATTCCCTTTCCTTTGGATATGTCACAGGAAACTGTGCATCTTACAACCCTACATATTCATTACTTAATCTTACCCAGAAACTTTTGAAGTGGTTAAGACAGCAGCCCAATGACCTGCACCTCTGAGATGTTAGGAGGCCCACCCATTCCACATGTTCATCACCTCCTAAGCTAACCAGATAGAGACACTCCAAATATCCCTTGTTAGAACTCCAGGGACAGGGAATTGAGGAACAATAGTGATGTGTATTGTTCACTTTCTATAATCCAATATGGAGCCAAGAACTTCATATGTATCATCTTCAATCCAAGAAAAACTTTTACCATAGAATATTCTATAATTGAGGGTGGAAATTTTCTAGTCGTAGCTATCCATGAGGAAAACTGAAGTTTCTACGTATCTCAATTGGTTTTGTTTCTACATCATTCTCAATGTATATTTCAATATAGATGATGATGCATATCATTGATTGGGGATCAGCTTTTGGGTTTTGAAAAGGTATATGAAGAAGCCAGGTGTGGTGGCTCACACCTGTAATCCTAGCACTCTGGGAGGCCAAGGCAGGAGAATTACTTGAGATCAAGGGTTTGAGACCAGCCTGAGCAAGATTCTGTCTCTACTAAAAATAGAAAAAAATAGCCAGGTGTGGTGGTGCCCCCCTGTGTAGTCTCATCTACTTGGGAGGCTGAGGCAGGAGGATCACTTGAGCCCAGGAGTTTGAGGTTGCTGTGAGCAAAGCTGATGCCATGGCACTTTAGCCTGGGCCACAGAGCAAGACTCTGTCTCAAAAAAAAATACTGAAATAAGCATCTTTCTCCCATCAAGTTCTAGTATAAAATTTAAGAGCTAGGAATACATATCTTTTGCTTTTTATTAGAAGCATTCAGCTTATGCGGCTAGCCACAGTGTTTACTAAAAGAGGCAGAAATATCAATTTTGATTATAGTTATTAAAAAACAAAGATAGCCTATTGTCAATATTTCAACATAATCTCTTTTCAAATATTGGCCAATTCATTATTTAAAATTTTTAAAACCTTTCAAATTTGAATGCAAATGTATTTTATTTCAGATAGTAATTATATTTAAAGTTCATTGTAATGCTTTTTTTTACTTCATTATAACATTTTAAAGGTATTTTCTCTTATATTGCTTAAATAGAAATTATGTGAGTTTTTACAAACTATGTTGAAAAGCACTTATCTCTTTTATGTGGTTCAAAATAGATGATGTTTATAAACTCTTCAAATTTATATTTTACTATGTCCCAATTTAATTTATACATTGTGAACAGTGCATTTGTTTTAATTTACTGTAAAATCATTAAAATCTTTAATGAAATAATGCTTTTAAAAGGTGTGATAGCCTGTTATGCTTTATTGTATAAATGATGGTCTTTTGTGTGTTTTTTCTATGTTAAAAATGAATATAGTAATCATTCTGTCCCCAGTATTCAAATAAAGTCATAAGTGTTTTTTGAGAAACAAATCAGTTGTTCATCAATCCTTTACAAATTAAATCCCTAGTATTTTACCATCAGACTGTGAAATAAGGCAGAATCAAAGGTGTTTCATGTTCTTCATGATAATCTAGAATTTTTATTTATTCCAGGTAATTTTGGACAATAGACATGATGAGATGTTTTCTCTTTGAATAAATAACAGTTTAATTACATCATTGAAATAAAATATACTGTGGGCTTAATACATTGTAAATATTACAGAAGTACTACTTCGCTATAGTAATTTAATGACTGAAGCTACATTTAATAACAATCTTACCAGTACTTGTATACAAAATATTATACATATCACTAACGAAGATATTGCAGCAGCTGCAACAATGTTACCAGCTCAACAAACATCTAACAATACAATATTCTTCTAAGAGGAAAAGTAATAATGTTAGATTTACAGACAATAAAGAGTTGTTTTCCACGTTAGATTTACAGACAATAAAGAGTTGTTTTCTACTTGAAACATTGGAAATAAGAATCCAGATAATCTGGTATCTTGATTCATACTATTACAAGAAAAGGTTTCCTTTCTTGGGGAATCTGGTCCCCAGTAGGCCTAGCATAGAAAGTTTACATGAAGATAGCTTTTAGGATGCCACAGCAATGTAAAGAAACTCTCCTATCTGGAAACTACTGATTAATAGGCCACTGCTTAAACATCCGACTTTTTGAAAACCTATTTACATACATTCAGCCCAAATCAGTAGATAGAATGTGTTGTCTATATTACAGTAGGCATTGTTAACATTTCATCAGAAGGCCAGTGCAAGACAATTGTTAATAGCCACTGTCCAGCATTTAGGAGATTGTAAAATATCATACAAATGTACAGCTAGAGTATGAGAAATCCAATTTTGTGCATGATATTGGTGGTGTCTTCTACGGACATGGAATGGCAGAAATTAATCAACAGGACAGTAACTAGAGTGCTACTCATCCAGGGCCTAGTTTTCATCCGGTGGGTTGGGCATATTGCCTGTGGAAGTCGGTTTAGGCGGCAAAAATTCCTTAACATTTAATATCAGATAATCCTTACTCAAGGACAGGCTTGGGAATCATCTCAAATGTAGGCAGATGTCTGTAGCATCTCCCAGATCCATATTTCTTTTACATATATTTCATATGTAATAAAAAATTAGAGGTTCTTGCAGATAGCTCTTCTTGTCTGAATGAAACTGTTAGTCTAGGACTGATTTATCATTACTCTGAAGAAACTGAACAGGTTGGGAATTTGGCCCTTTCTGAAGACATGTGTGATGGCAAAATGCATGGTCAGGACAAACATGCTATCCTCAGAGGAAAGTACATGCCTCGGATGTCAGACCTTATACAACTTTACTTAAATTTAAATCATATTTAAATTAATGGAGCTAATTATGGGGCTAATTAATGAATACTAACAAATGTTCATCCTGATGAGTATATTAATTGAGAGGAAGATTTTAGTCACTTGGGTTAGGAAATGATATGAAAAATGTCAAAGTGAATCCAACTAATTTTAAACATTTTTGAATGAAGGTAGTATAACACATACATGATGGTATTTCACAGATATTTCTTAGAATATCAATAAGCACCAAGTTTAGTGCTGTCAGCCCCATTGTCCCTTAATTGTTTATATATGATTTAGATCTTGAAAGCACAACACACTATAAAATCTACATTGCATATGCACAAATACAGTTTCAAAAATGAATCCTGAAGTTTTCCTACCTATAACAAGAATTTCATCTCCACTAGGTCTTCATAGCTGTGAGAAGAGCGTTGGTACTGCCTGGTGAGATCTGAGATGTGTGGATTAATATTCAGGGTGATGCAGGACAAAAGACTAGCAATTCTTAAATGGAAACTAGACCCTGGTGAGTTTTTTTCATAAATAATCATCTTTCCTTCTAAAGAGATCTTATTAATCTCCAGCACCCTGAGCCCTCATCTGCATATCACAGCGAGGTAAAATGGGGGAACCAGTGGGCAGATTCAAGCTGTACAGATGGATGGCCAACTGACAGCACCTCCACTTGGTCCACAGACCTCACTCTGCCTTAGACCATAAACTGCAAAAGGGGCACTGCCCCATCAGGCTCCTTGGGTATTTTGAGAGCTAGGAATCGCCAGACAGACGCTAGCTCTCCCCTTCCCTTCATGCTATGTAGGCCTCGGAGCCTTGTAGGAGTCTTGATTTATCTATCTGTATGAGGAGAAGAGATTGTAGGTAAAATTTTTCAGGGTCAAGTGGCTTCTTTAAGCAGTATCATTCCTTACTGGAAAAGGGCCCAACTCTGAGCATCTATGGCATCAGTAAGGGGTACGAGACTGAGTCATAAGAAGAAACAAAGCACATCATCTTCATGCTGTAGCATACCTTGCTGGCCTCGAACAGGGAAGTCTATTCCGCAGCCCAAACCCACCCAGACAAAACCGAGCACTGGGCTGCTACCAAGGGCATCTGGGTGAAGCACAGCAGCAGCGTGTTTTCTAGGCCCAATCCCAAGTGTGTCAGCTCTTTGCTGCCCTTTTCTGTCTCATCCACTGTCTGATTTGGCCTTTTTAGCCACGTGGGCCAGGTGTGACAGTCCTACTTCATCGTGATGTGTACAGCACTACTTAAACTGGGATGGCATTACCTACACACACAAGTGAAAAATGTTCCCATCTGTTTTATTTGTTTTGTTTTGTTTTTAGAACTATCTTCCTTTTAATGACTTATATCTCCATGGATCTGATCAATATTGGGTGCTCAGAAACCAAAACACTCTCATTTCCAGATAACATTATAAATAAAAGCCTTTTTTTTGAATGTCTGTCACTGATTATTCCTTGCTGAACACTGGTCTTATGTAATACCCAAAGATCAATTTAGTAATACTTGACTCAATTTCCTAAGAAGGGTTGGGGGTAGGAATTTTCTGAATGGTTACAGTCACTATTCCTATCAACAAGATTTCTGGAAGAACTCAATTTTAGAAACTGAATTCATGTGCAAGAGTGCAGCAAGTGATACAGTTTACACTTGGTCACAGTTTTCTCACTTTATGACATTACTGTAACAGTTACAAGATAGAAATACACACATACATACATTTATATTCACATTCACACATAGTATAAATTTACTGATCCAGACAATACTTTTCAATAAACAAACAAACAAACAAAACCAGAAGACTGTTGTTTGGCCACCCAGGCATGAAATCTACTTAAACCTGGAATATAAGAATACAATACTCTTCAAGTAAACAGCAACTGCACAGTGGTAACAATATACATTAAGATTGACACATGCTGTCTTAAGAGATCCAATAATAGCTAAAGACTAAAGAAAGTCAGAGATGTCACCCTAAAAAAGTCAATATGCTTTCTCTCTTCCATTCTGATTGTAATCCATTACTCAACAGAACAGCTATAGTCCAGAAGATAATAAATGTCCTCCTATGAAAATGCAGGACTAATAAATTTGTAAGTGGCAATGAATTCTGCTCAATACTTTGAAGTCTTCAAATTCTTCTTGTCGTATTAACAGAAAAATAAATCTTTATGGTTATTTCAGTTTCAAATAGAGATATCTGAAGAAAAATTAAGGTATCTTAAGCTATATCATGGGCAGTAATATAGAAAAAAAGGAGTCTCATTGGCGTACATCCACTGCTGTGTGTTCCATTGTTCTCATAAAAGTCTACCTTTCAGTTTTGCTGAATTAGACAAATATAAATAACATAATATAAACACTGATACACATCTCACAGGACACAACACATTTTACAAAATATCTCTACTTTAGTAATATTACTGTTGTAAAAATGGACATCTCTGATACTATGGACAAATACATTTCACATTATAATGAAAGTTGTGGGTACAAAGGCATTACTCATTTGATGATATTTTTCTATGGGTACTTACACTTCAAATTGTGTAGCCAAAGGGTCCCCTCCTATTTCATTGACTTTGAAGGGCCGTTCAGTCACTTAAGCAATAGGCTTTCTTCACTGTAAACCCCTGGAGAATGGAGTTTGAGTACCTAAACTATCGAAACATTAGTGAACTGATAAATGATCACGGTGACAATCACCTTTTCACTGAGCATGGTAAACTTAAAAAAATATAACCGATGAGACAACAGACTCTTCTAGATCTTGAGCTTTAAGGGAAAAAAAAAAAAAAAAGGATTTCTTTTCCTGTGCTGCCAGGGAGGCATCAGGCTCACAGAGCCTCAGCAGACGTGTCTGTGGACACAGACATGGTTACCTTGGCGATCTTGACCGTGCTCTTGATGCAGCTCTCTGCAGCCCTGTGAACGCTGGCTGCGTTGTTTGCGTGTTTGTGCAGGCAGTCCGAGTCCCCCACGCTGTTATCCAGCGGCTGTGCCGTGCCTTCACATGAGGGGAACATGCTCCGGAAGGCATGTCTCAGGTCCTTGCTCCTCAGAGCATAGATGATGGGGTTCACGGTGGAGTTCAGGAGGCAGAGCATGCAGCAGAAGGCAAACACCGTCTTAATGAGCTTGTTCATCTTCCCAAAGACGTCGTACACCATGATGGCAAGCAGAGGGCCCCAGCAGATGATCAACACCACCAGGATCAGGACCAGGGTCTTGGCCAACCGAATGTCCATGCGGGCTTGGTCCGGCCGGGTCACCTGTACCTTGCCATCCTCGGACGTGTGGATGATGATGCTCTTCTGAGTGCCGCGCTGAATCATGCGGACGGCGTGGCTGTGGGCCTTCCAGAGGATGTACATGTACGCGTACACGATGAAGAGCAGCAGCACGCTGGTGACCCCGATCCAGAACATCAGGTAGGTTTCGTCAATGAGTGGGAAAATGTCTGAGCAAACGGATTTCAGTTTCTTGCAGTTCCAGCCCAGGAGAGGCAGCACGGCGATCACGATTGCTATGGTCCACATCAGGCAAAATGCCACCACGGCCTTGGGCCTGGTGACAATCCTCTTATAGGCCAGGGGCCTGTGAATAGATATGTACCTGTCGATGGCCGTGAGAAACAGGCTGCCCACGGAGGCGGTGAAGGAGGCTGTGACCCCGCCCAGTTTGAACAGAAACACGTTGTGGCTATCTTTGCGGTGGAACACGTGGAAGTCAACGAAGCTGTAGACAAAGATGACGCTCCCCAGGAGGTCTGCCACTGCCAGGCTGCCGATGAAGTGGTAGGAAGGCCTGCAGCGGAGGCTGCGGGAGTGCAGGATGACGCAGAGCACCAGCAAGTTCTCCAGAACCGTGAAGGTGCCCAGCGTGAGGGACAGTACGGCGATGGCCAGCTGCTGGCTGGGGTTCAGGATCATGAAGCACTCCATGTCCATGAAGTTCTCCCCGCACTGGATGTTCTCCTCATTCTCCTTGTAGGAGAGAGACTTGTTGTAAAATTCTGTAATGTTCACCTGGTCTGCTGGGACCAGCTGGGGGTTGTCTCCTGCAGTCATCTTTTCTTGGAAGGGACTCCCCCTAAAGGAAGTTAGAGGAAATTTCTGTGGGAAGTATCCTAATTTGGAGGCCATGTCACCTTTGATGTCTTCGTACTGAATGTCATTCGAGCCCACGTAGAGGAGGTCTGTGGTGATGGTGCGGAAGGTAGTGTCTGCAAGGCCATCTAGGATCGACTTCATAACCTCAGTCTTCAATTAGGCCAAACTCAGAACCACTGAGAAAGAGACCCGCAGGAGGGAATCCTAATAGAAGGGAAAACAAACAAGCTGAATGGTAAGAAAACCGGGAGAATGATAAAAACAAAGCAGCACACTGTAAACAATGCAAACATGCACCATCATGGCCATTCATTCCTGTCTCTGACCAAAGGTCAAGTCTTTGTCAGAATCACTCCACAAGATGAGTCAGTCACTCAGAGAAAAGCACCCCAGAATTGGGGGATGGAGTGGCATATATACCAGAAACATACAATTCTTTCATTATTCAAGCTCTCTGGGTTGAAGTCACTGCGTGAGTCCTCTATGGACCTCCGAGGTCAATGTGGGGGTGACGTATATTTCACAGCTGTGTCGGGAGGTGTTGACCACCCGGCTTGGCATCTGTTGTCACATATACACAGCATGTTAAGGCTATGGGGTGCTGGGGAGAGCTGATGGATCACATGGCCCCTGCTCTTGAAGACTTTACCTTGTCAGGCAGATAAGACCAAATGCAAAAGACAACTGAAGAACAAGACCCTGTAGCATCAGGTGTTGCGATGTGTGGTCTGTGTCTGCAGAGGAGGAGGAGGGGGAGGCTGGTGGGAACAAGAGGCAGCTCCAGACCAGGGAGGGAAGGTCTGCTCCACCAAGCAAGTGTCCCCACCCAGGGGAAACTTGGCCTGAGCTGTAGCTGACATGAACTTCTAAAATGTCTACACCAACCAAAAACATGGGTGCAAAGGCCACACTTGCACTGAGGCTTCGGGGAAGACTAAGATCTTCACCACTTGGAAGGAGCAATGATGGAGGCTGCTTCCTGGTAGCCCTGGCCACAAGGACCAGGGTGGGCACACACCCTGCCAGGTGACAGGGAGAGAGGCCCAATGGCATCCCAAATTTCCATGCGAACGACCAAGCCCAAATGTGAAGGGCTCTTCAATTCTAAAACTAAGCACTTTGGATTTGTTTCAAAATAAACAGCCAGAGAACTGATCTTACTGTTTATAAACATCTGTTTAAAATATGGCTATTCATCTCTTTAGTTTATTAACAAAAATTAGAAGTACAGTGATAAGTACAACAAAATAATCATAAAAACCATTATTTATTAATTGTTTGTTATTCCTAACATAGCACTTTGTATGGGGCAGGGGGAAAATAGTCATTACCTTGGGACAAATTAAAAAGTGTTGGGTCCTTATACTAGAATACAGAGATCCTACCTATCTGAATTAATAATTTGCTTATCAATGTGTTAGTCATTTAACAAATTATGGAGCACCCACTATGTGCCAGGCACTGTATTAGACACTAGAGTCTTGACAGCATCCAGAGAGTCCCTGCCCACATGAAGGATCCGGTCTAGCAGGGAAGACAGACAGCTGACCCTGTAATAAGGAGAAAGCATGGAGACAGCTAAGACTGGAGACACAGAGTGCTGTGGGAGCCTCCAGGCTAGGAGGATGGAGGCTTCCCCAAGGAAAGGATGTTTATGCCAAGAATAGGTAGCATTAGCGTGGGTGGGGACAGAATACAAAGAAAAGATTTTAAAATTAATATCTTAAGTGTCATGATTTTTTAAAAGAGTAATTTGGAACAGGAATAAAGCACTGAATGCGGCCACCTTCCCATCACCTGCCACCTCCAAGTCCAGGCTTATTGCTCGTCAGAATTAGGGCACCTGCCTCCTCACCAGTCTGCCTGCCTTTCTCTGGTCCTATTCCCTTCTGGTCACTTGCCACCAGCTGCTGGAGTGATCTTCACAAACAAATGGCTGATTAAGTGACTCTCCTATTTCCTCCTCTTTGCTCTCCAGGACAAATATAAACTTTCGGGCAGTTTCCCATTCAGGCCCAAGCTCTCCAGACACACATGCGGCTCTTGTCTCCACCTCCATGTTCCAGCCCCACTGAGTGCCTTTCCAATTCTGACCCTCGCTGTCCTCCCCAACCCTCTCCACATTCTGCTCTGCCCAAGCGGGAAAGCTTTCCACCTCCCACCAACACGCCTACAGGATGGAGTCCCGTAAAAAGCCTTTTGTGATCCAGCCCCTACCTATCTTTTCAATCCTCCTCTCGCCACCCCAGCCTTGCCACCTGGGCCGTACAAGATGGATCCCAGTTCCAGAAACACACCAAACATTGCTTTCACCTCGATGCCTTTGCTCTCACTGCCCCTTATACTCCTCTGTCCAAACACCCTTCCTCTCCCTCTGCCTGGTCAACTTCTCCCCATCAGTTCAATGGCACGACTTCCTGTAGCTTCCTGCTTCTCATGGGGAAGAAGTACCCTCTCTGGGGCTCCCAGAATACCCAGATAGAGTACTGTGATGGCACATACTAAATTTTCCAATATTTCTCTGTGTTTGCATCTCTTCTTCAATAAGTATTGTTATCAGCATTACTTAGTACTATGGCTCTTTGCTATATACTATATACTAATTGTATTTCAAGAATATATCATATATACTAATTACTGTAATATATACTACTGATTATATCTCAAGAATATTCATTGCTTTAATCAGATCGTAGCCTGTTTATTCAATTTCATTTTTGTCTCAGCACTGTAAACATGAATCAAATAGAAGATACATACATGGGTGAGGGAGTGAGAACCTTTATGGAATGTCTATTATATTCAGGAATTTGAGAAACTTTATATATATTCTAGCACTAAATTGCCATGGCAATCTTATCAGGTGCTTATTTATAATTCCCATTTCACAGATGAAGGAATGGAGGCCATTAAATGTTAAGTAAATGGCCCAGAATATGACAAATTTGCAAGGAATCCATGTTTCTCAGACTTCAGAGTGTTTTTAGATGTTGTGTGCTGTGTTAAGGATTAACAGTAATTAGATTAAAGCCATTTTGCATCTTATATTATATTCAAGTCTTCTTGCCTCTTAAAAACATAAATTAAGGCATCTTGCCAATAGTAATTAAGACTACCTCCTACTAAATCACTATTTCCTATCCCAGCCCATCTAACTAAATCTGCCTACGTGCATGGCCCTAAGGATTAAAATCGTAGTCAGTATTTGGAAGAGTTCTAAAGCTTCTTCAGTAAAGACAAAGGATCACAGACCTTATTTCAGTAACGAAAAAAAACGTGTTCCTGTGATTTACTCTATATTAAGATCATCACATATGTGATCAGAATTTCCCATTTTAATGCAACCAAGCACTTTCATTAAAACAAACTAGCTTGTTAAAATCTAAGCCAGGGCATGGTGTGGCTATAAGGTAATAGAGTAATTTTTGCCCATTATAAGCCAAATTAATTAAAGAATGCAGTTTTAAAAATACATGGATTTTGTGTAGTTCAAGGATCTTAGTAATGTCAAAATGCCACTGTGCACAGGCTATTTTAACAGTTAATAGGATCATGGCAAGAAAACTGTTCTTTGCATTTTGATAATTCTTTTCTTTATTTCCACATTTGGATTATTACAGTAATTTTCACATTATTTTTTGCATCAACAATTTTCTTTGTGAGTTTATTAACAATATAGCTTAGGTTTTGGGGATGTGGCTGCCATTAATTTTGTTTTTGTTTGCTACTGGGAAAATCACGATTGGAAATTTCTAGCAAGATACGTAGATGAACCTATTAAAGAAGCAGTTGGTTTTTATTATCATCAAAGAATGACTGAAGGACATTTAAGGGAATTTTCCTAGAATTCTTCTTTTAAAAATATAGCCAACGTATTCTAACAATTTAAGCTATATAAATCATTCCTTCATAGTATCAATAATAAAAATATTTTAATGTGTGTAATCTATTATTTTTTTAAAAATCACTTTAATTTTTAGAGTAACATCAACTATTTTTTTGTCCATCTCTTTACATGCAAATCTGTCTCCCCATCAAAAAAAACCAAACCCTATATATATATATAAAATACCAGATTATAGTATCATCAAAGGAATTTTATGGGTACAGCAGCTGCAGAGTTTTTCTTAAAAAATGTTTATCCAAAGTCCATATCTTTATTTCCATTATGTAACCATTAAGGGTATAAAACATCCATGTTTCTGATTAGGCTGAGCATGGAGTAAGTCCTTGAAACAAAACTTCAAATTGAATTAGAGCCATTTCTACATAAGTATAATTTAATAGTAGTTATTTTAGTCTTAGCCCCACTGAAGATCTTCCTTGTTTTAGAGAGAAGTTTCAATAATTTAAGTGTGTATCACTTGCATCTGGAGTCAAAATCTTTGTGGTTCTGGCCTGCATAGCATGTCTGGTGGAATAGACAGTAGGCTGGTATTTGCTCCTTGCAGGATGCCACATCCAGAAAAGCAGCAAACCCTCTAGAAACATCAGAAAGACTGGGACTTCCTGATACAGTTATAGATTGTATTGGCCCCTCACACTCCTCTAATATTCTAAGTTTATTAATGATTTAAAGAGAAAATGCCAAGCTCATAGTGTTTAAATTGGTACACGTCTCTACAATGTCAAATGCAGGAGTCCCAGGCCCTTGCTTAACTTTGTTGTTTTCCCTGTGTTGTTGGTTGTGTGTTGTTCTGCTCTGCTGGACTCATAAAAGAGCCTTATGAAAAGGTTCAAGAGAATGAAGGTCCCAGTGGATATGTGTTTGTTATTTTCCATTCATTTCTGGGAACAAGTCTGGTTTCTACTAATTTGATCAAGAAAAATACCTTGTTAATGCATTTCTCTAAAGTTAGTAAGGAAAATTTTAGTTGACTCTTATAACTACATTATGTCTAAGTCATGTCCTCAATACACATGGCAGACCTCACAGGCCAATATCATAACTGGATGAAAAATGTTTCTACTCCAGTTGAAGGGGCAATGAGTCTTTTCTCTCACATAATCATTATAGTTTTGGAATTATTAGCATAATTTGGTCACTTTTTGCATCATCTTCTAAAGCAAGTGAAATAAAGAACTGACTTAATTATATTGAGAATTCAGACAAAAATACATGATCTTTCTTCCTTGTATTAACATCAGTTTCTTTTCCTACATATAAAAGAAAATTCCATTATGCTGGTTATGCTTGGTTGGCT